AAAAAAAATCTTATTTTGGATAGGCTTAAGTCCTTTTTTAACCCCTAACTTATAGGCCTAAGGTCTTTTGCCTCTCACCTAAAAATTTAAGGTTAGTAGCCCCTCAATAACACAATTTAGGGAAATTCACCCTTGTGTTGAGGAATTTAAGGCATGCATCTCACTTGGGCGTTAATCAAATGTTATGCCATCTTACTTAGTGACAAATTAGTGACCTTTCTTCTACCTGGTGTGCCACAGTGGTAATGAGTGAACAATTCCTACCTAAAATAATAAGGCTCCCACTCTGTCATTGCCATTTCAATAGCCCAAGTAAGAGAGAGGACACTGATTGTCGTTGAGTGGGATGGGCCTGACATTTGACTAACACTAATGTGAGAAGCATATGCTTAAAAGGCATAACCCCCCAAGAAGCCCTCTAACTGTCTATCTTTGAGATAATAAGCTCCTTAGAATGTACTTTGTATGTTTTAGCTTATAAACTTCACATTATTGCTATAATTAATCTAAAATAGAAGGAATCACATCAAGTAAGTCACATGATTATCTCTATTTCATTAACTTATCCTTATTTGTGCTATCCTAACATAAATATGGTCCACTTAGACCCATGAAGTAGAAAAATATCACCCAAAGCACACATTGTTCTCACCTTGGATGGGATTTCTATTGTTTCTATGAGTCCAAGTGGACCATATTTATGACAGCATGACATTGACTAAGATGGGGTAATAGGGTAAAGACAACCATGTAACTCACATGATGGTATTTCATCTATTTTAGTCCAATTATAATAGTAATATGCAGTTTATGAGTTAAAGCATACAAAGTGTATGTTTAGAGACTAATAGTCTTTAAGATAAACACTTAAAGGGCTTTTGGGGGTTTAAGCCCCACCTAAAATCGATGAAATAAGGGTGAATTTCTCTAAATTATGTTATTAGGAGGCTAATAACCTTAAACTTCTAGGTATAGGGCCAATAACCATAAAATCTACAAGTTAAGGGGCTAAATAAGGAGTTAAACCTATCAAACAAAATTAATATTTTTTTAAACAAAACCCTTGACTTAAAAAGCTTGTCTTTCTTGTGGTAATTACTCAACTGTGTAAATTACCCATCACCACCAATTGATAAGGGTAATATATTTGTAAAAATAAATAACAACCCATATCCTAGTTCTTATTTGCAATTAGTTAAAGAAAATAGGTCCTTGTTACACTAAGTCTAAAGCTAGAGTCCTTCATCTCATCTAGAATTAGGAACTAATCTATAATAATTGTTAATTATGGGATTTGCATATTATCTTAATAAATTACGAAGCAAGTGTCTATTTTAAGGAGAGTTACTATAGTCCAGCTGTCTATAATCTGTTAGAATAAATAACAGGCAATTGAATGAGAAGTAGGGCAAGTGGGGGAGCATTTAAGACCCACTTAACTAGAGGTTTTGAGTTATCTAATTAAATTAGTCATTTTCTTGTATTTTGCCTATAGTTGGACCGAAGGAGAAGGAGAAAAAAGGTGCAAATAGGCTAGGCAGACTTGGAAAATCTTGAAGAATTCCACCAGGCTTAAAATCTTAAAGAAAGTGTGTGGTAAGTGTGATTCTTAATTTTAAGTCAAGGTTGTCTAACAAAGTTTAGCGGTAAATAAAACAACAGAATAAACATAAAAAAATTAGGTACTACAGTTTAAGTTATATAACAAAAGAGAGAAAAAAAAAATACAAAAGTAAGTTGAACTAGAAATCTTATGTGTTAAAACTGTGAAATTTTTATAGTTCAAGTTTTGAGATTAATATGTTATTTGTATCACTTTTTCTAGATTGTCCTATGCATTTGACCTGAACACTTCATTATAGCCTATTTCTATTAGTTTCATAGACCATATTAAGTAAACATTGAAACTATTATGCATGATTATGTGCTATATGTGGTTTTGTGATGTAATTGTCTTAGAACTATGGAGAGTTTGGACCCTAGCCTAAGCTTGGGGGATTGAACAGTGAACTAGTGGACCTCTATGCAGTAGGTAAGTGCTATGATTAGCTCTGGCACCTAATGTGAGTGCATGCACATTCAATGAACTCCATAGTTTGTGTTATTTCTATTTGATGTGTTGTATTTGTGTGGTCATTTTGTGGCTGCCATTGCTTAAATTTTTAATAACGTCTGTACAACTGAGAGTTTAAGGAATTTTTTTACATGAGATACTAAGATTAGATTATCAGTTTAACTTAGGATTAAGAATTATGCTTACTGGTCATGAGCTCATGATATTATTCCCACTATTTCAGATAGTAGCAGTGAAAAGTAATTGTTATTTTTAAGGATTTTTTGTAAGTGGAGGTCCTACACTAACTATAAGTCGTGCTTTGAAATATCAATAAGACAAATTTGTATTTACTCAAAACTTTCATTTGGCTCTAATATTTTTTTATCTATTTTATACTATTATTGAGCTTGGGAATAGTATATAAAATGAGTCTTTTGATTCTATAATCATTTTCTACTTTTTTTTTTTTTTTTATCTTGTGCAAAACATTCCCTCTTTAATAAACTTTTAGTTTACCAAAAAAGGATGTTACACAACCTCTATTATAAAAATTAAATGAAAAAATATCCCTGTTAAAATTACGTCATTTTAAAAAAATTCAATTAAAACTAAAAAATCTTAATTTTTAAAAGAAAAATGAAATTATTTTAGTATTTTTTAATACTTTATTAAAATAATATAATTTTAAAATTTTTTTACGTAATCTTTTATAATACAAATTAATACTCATTAATCTCCTATAACATTTTTTAGCCAAAAAGTAATTAGCCAGGGTAAATATAAAAAGTTACCCGAAAGGTATAAATAAGGGTAATGCATTGTCCGGCCCTTACCCGACCCATTGCTATTCCTATCTAGAATTAATAATGTCAAAACAATCATGCCAAGTTCATTATTCATATAAGTCACCAAATCTTAGGAAATGACATTAATATCCTCAATAACAATACTAAAACTGAATTCTCCAATATGTTCAGAAGTCCAGATAAAATCCAACTACAAGTTTGGACATCTATGAGGTTAATCCCCCTGATTCCTGTCAGCATCTCTAATATCAGAACCTGAAATGTAAAAATTTTATGAGTATAACTCAACGACGCAATTAAAATAATACAAATTTCTCTTAGTTGGGTTATGCATGCCAAAACATAAATTTATTCAAGTAAAACAAAGACGAATGACAGATGACTCATCAAAAATGGAACCTAGCTTCTCAAAGCAAGATTTCCATTCAGTCAGAAAAGCGGATAGAAAATCAAACCAGAGCAGGAGCAGAAATTTTAAACAAAACTAAGTCCAAGTGTCTCTTTAATGAAATTATGGCTACTATTATCGTAGAAGACCAATTCATTTTCACGTATATTCCAAAACTATGTTCGGTACTGAGACAATCATTTCATAACTCTCAATTGGAGTAACAGAGGTGGTGTATGCATGTTGAACAATCATGCAAGACAATAAAAATCCATTCGGTCAAATAGTAAAAATTTCCATTTCAAATTTGTAAAGCTTCTTGGAGGTATATGTAGATAATCGCAGGGTCAAGTCAATTAAAAGTGAGCTTCAAAACTATTTGTACAAACCGCACATTCATTAGTGTTCAAGAAAATTTAGGAAGCCATTTGAGTGGTTCAAGTCTTACCAACAGGAAACCATAGTCACCAAATGCGTAACCCATAACTTAATGGAACAAGGTTATATAAGAAATAGTTTAGCAGAGTACTAATAACACATTTCATAAACTTACCAAGCTTTAAATGAATAGGAATCATAAAATCGAGATTTTATCAAGGAAAGAGCAGTAAGATATTTCAAGAAATCAAACTAAGGAAGGTGCATGTTACTTACACAGAGAGTGTTCAGAAATTGCACCAAACAGCAGCAGAAAGTGTATATTTCCGCCTCTAAACAGCCCCGGAACAGCGAGGATATGAGGGCAAATTTCAGGTCAAATTCCTCCCAATTTTGTAACCAGTTGATTAGCAATATTATATTACACTTCATCATTTAAATTATCCCCTACCCTTCTTTGCTGAGTGACCCGTCTTCCGCTTGTGACGACTGAAATCTGATACAAACCGGAATGTCTGCCCACAGCCTTCCTCAGTGCACACATATGGACGAGCACCTGTGTGAACCCTAATGTGCTCTGTTCGAGCCCATGCCCACTTGAATGTCATCTTGCAGCCCTTCCAAGGGCATTTTAGGGGTCTGTCATCTGTATGCACTCGACGGTGCTGCACCAAGTATTTGTGTGAGAAAAACTTCTTTCCACAGCCCTTAACTGGACAAATGTTCCTCCTGTGCAGAACAAGCTCTTGCTTGGAACCAAAACTCATGCTGCACCCTTCCATGTCACACTGGTATTCTGCTTCCTCATCATCAACAGCTTGGACATTCACAGCTGAGCCCTTCTTCACTTTCTTCTTACCAGCTTGCTTCTTCTCTTTTTGTTTAGCTTCTGTCTCCTTTTTAGGCTTCTGGTTTCTTTTCCTCAGGCGTGTGCTAGGCCCACCTTCTAGTTCATCTAGACCAAATTCATCAGAATGTATAGCGCATTGCACAACCTTGTTCCAACTCCGAGAAATGTCTTGTTTCCCTTGCCGAGGGATCTCTTCCTTTATTTGCCGAGGAGTTAAGGCTTTCTTCTGTCTGCTTCTAAGAGTCCTCTGCTGTTGATGTGAGATATTGCCTGGTGAATCATACGAAATTGCATCCTCAATAAATCTGTCTTGCTTGCTTCTAGGAACTTGCCTAATACGATGAGAATTGTCTTCCAATAAATCATACGAGACAGCATCTTCCCTCTGAATAAACTTGGCCTGCTTGTTTCTAGGAATCCTCCTATGGGACTGTTGAGAATTATCATTCATTGAATCATGCGAAATAGCATCTTCTGTATCAGTAAAATTAACCATTCTGTTTCTAGAAATTCTCCCATGCTGCTGCAGATGATTACCCTCAAATGCATGATCTGAAGATCTAGTATGCCTTACTGTATGTTTCTGCCTGCCTCTAGGGGTCCTCCTGAGTAACTGATATGAATCATTCTCTAAAGCTTCATCTAATATTACAGCCGTTCTCTCAAATTTGGGTTGCTGGCCTCTAGGAATCCTTCTAGGATTCTTAAGATAATTAACTTCCAGGGAATCATCCAAGACTGCATCATCCCCCTCAAAAGATTTAGCTTGCTTGCCTTTAGCAATCCTTCTTTGTTGCTTAGAATAATCGACTTCCAGTGAATCATCTGAAATCGAATGATCCCTCTTGAAAGACTCAGTTTGCTTGCCTCCAGGAGTCCTCTTCTTATGATGAGAAGTTTCCTCTAGTTCATTTTCTGATAAAGCATCTTGTCTCTGAATAAATCTAGCTTGCCAATTTCTAGGGGTCATATGGTGATTGTGAGAATTATCACCCAATGAATCACTTGACAATGCAGCATTATCATCATCATAATCCTCACTCCTATCGGTACATTCAGATTGCTTTCTAAGATTCCTCCAATGCTGATGATGAGTATAATCCTCCATTGCATCATTTGGTTCAGCATTGTCTCCCTCAATATATTTGCCTTGGTTTCTTTCTGAGATAATCCTATGCTGCAGACAAGAATCACCCTCTAGTGAATCATATGAAACTGTATCTCTTTCAATAAGAATGGTCTGCTTGCTTCTGAGGATTCCCTGGTGCTGAGAAACACCCCCTAATGAATCACTTGAAACTGCAACCTCCATCTCACCGTTTTTCACTTTCTTGATTGATGCACTCTCTGCTTGCATTTTCCTCTTCCTAGTAGGCTTTTCAGCTAACTTGTTTGTTTCAGTTTTGTGAATATTTTCTGATTTACTCTCAGGATTCTCATCTGGTGTTGATCGTGCAGGGATGCTTCTTCCTTTTTCTAGCTCCTTGGGATCCCTTTGTGCTAGAAAGGGATGAACCTGATTTGACATCCAAACTCTACCACACCATTTCCCTGCAACCACCTTTTTCTGCTTAACAGACCTCCTCTCACAAACATTTAATTTTACTGGCAAGCTGGCTGGCGAACTACGGCCGAATGCACTGTATATAACAGAATTGTATGGCATCTGCTTACTGTACAGTGTAGAGTGACTGAGGTGGGCGCTGTAAAATAAATTGATACCCAGCTTTACAGCCCAGTCCCCATTTCCAGGTATGGCTTCTTCACTATCCAAGGCTGACTGGACCCTCTCCTCATCCTCTTTGGTGGCATCCTTGAAGGAGATGTCATTCCAGAGATAATCCATTCCCAGTTCTTCAGCTACTAACTTTGCTTCTGCTTCTATCTTGGGATACTCTGCAAGTATTTCCCAGCATAATCATTAAGTGGTGAGAAGAGAACCTTAAATTATTCTTTACTCTGGTAAAAATTACGTTCAGAAGAATAAAAGAATAATATAAATTAAACAGTGATAACAATGGTTTTTGGGTGCATCTGAGTGTGGGCATAAGAGAGGGGATGCCCTTCCCCTTCTCACATCCCTGGTTGCCAGACCTAAAGTTCAACCTTGAGACCTCTAACTTGGTAGTTCTAAGCTCTAACTGTTTGTCAATCACCTAAAGAGAAAAACCAGACCTTTTTTTTTTCCCCTTTTTGGCCATAGTAAGGAAACAACCATAATTTAAATCTATCACGATCATAAATGGATTGCACACTTTCCTCTTTGTACGAACTGTTATTTGGCAGTAACTAGTAGACACAATTAAGGAAAAGACATAGAATGACAAGTGGGCTGGATGAAGCCCTTAACTTTTTCTCTGAATGCCCAATCCTCCCATTACACCAGTGAGGCATGGTTACTTTCAATATGCATAATTTCAAGCTCAAACTTCTGGACCCACATGGGGTACTTTTTCTACCTAAACCAGAGCAACTTAAGGCACTTCGCAGAATAACATACATTTCTTTTACCTAAGCATAATGACATACATAAAGTAGTTTCCATAAACAGGTTTCTAGCATTTGAACTTAAGAGTGTTTAGACATAAAGTGCATCAGAACACACCTGGATGACAAAAGAGAAACACATGCACCCCTCCTATTGGACGAAGTTGCTGTTCTACTTCTACAGCATGCTCAAGACAGAAGACATGCATTCGAGAGGAATCTTCATCGGATGCTGGAGCAAAACGAATATCAGCATTCTCAAGTGGTAAAACAGCCTTGACAAATTTCATTTTATCCGTACCGTGGTAAATTGGCGGGCAACTTGAGTTAGCATGTGATGCTGTGATTGGCTTCCTAAATTTGTCCTCCAAACAATCTGATCTGACGGAGGGAAGATTATCACCTTCAAACTCAACAGAACCATCAAGTGTTCGAGTTATCTTATAGTTGACATTAGCTCCTCGAGATCCAGATTCATAGCAATGAACAACATGGACAGGAGCTTCATTGTCCAAATCAGGTCTCAAGAATGAGAGACTGTGATCCTCATTTGGATGATGAGGTGAAAAATTAGAATCCAGGTTCTGATATTTTTTTTCTTCGGAAAAGTTTTTTTTTAAGTCTATCGCATTATCACAGACAGTTACATTCAGTTCAACATTATCATCCTCAGAGTCAGATGATCCATAAGTCAGAGCTAATAGGCCAAGAGCAGAAGTTTCTCTACATCTCTTTGTATCTGACACGATTTCATTGGTTGGATCAACCTTCTGGAATTGGTAATCAACAGACTGAACAGGAACATCGTATAAAGCATCTGGAGTGCCTTTACTGATCCACCCTGCATTTAAAAGAAAAAGAAGCTGATAATTTTACTAAAATAAAATACCAAATTTTAGGGAAAATGGTGCCACTACACGTCCAGGAAAAAAAAAATTAGAAACATAGATCAAAAGTTACCAATTGTCTCAAACTCAAAACTATTGCCTCACATTCATAGGCAAAGTATTAAGAAAATAGGTATGTGTTTTGAAGGATCTTGGGTCATCCTAATGAAAGCAAAAGATCATAAGACTTACATAAAATCATGCCAATCTTTAGTTTAGAACCCAAAACATTTCCAAGCTATTAAATTTTTCCACTGAAAAGTGTCATACTTTTCATTACTTTGTCCAACTTATAACAGTTATTGTCCATGAAAGAAATATAATCTGACAAGTATGCCCCTCTGATCCAAACACTCAACAGAATCACTAAGCTATGCTTCAGAATAAAACAACACAGCTAATGTAGAGGGACAAGGTCATATATTAGTAAATAAGTGAAATTATCTAAAAAAGATGAGAAAAGTAGCATATGATCTTAAGAGCACTTCGCTTTTGAAGATGACCAAATAATATTCAACTGACTTCATCAAACATAGAGGAACAGGAGAAGAACAGACCATACAAATAACTAGTCCTTGCTAGACCAATGGTCATATGAAGAATGAACTCTATGTCCAAATGAACATCAAATAACAACAATCTTACCCAAAACAAAAACTTCCGCTCAATTAATGAAAGAATATCCAATTTCAATAATCTGCAAATCAATAACAGAGGTACGCAGATAAAAGAGAAAGATAAGATGTAACTTACTTGTGCAAGAACCCCATTCAGTTGCTTTACCCTGTCCAGAAGTCAACCCATCATGAGTTACTCCAAAACCGACACTCCAATCATTAAAGAAGCTGCAATCTGCTGACATGAGGTATCTAGCTGCTTGTTCTTTTGGTTTAATAACAGCAACACAAGCAAAGCTCAATAGTCCACAAGTGACACATGAAAAAAGCCTCTGATCTGACAGTGCTTCACCTTGAACCACACTTTCTCTTCCAGTGTTAGCGTTCTGTGTTAGAGAAGACATGCCCCACACATTATCATTTTCACTTGAAGTGATACACCTGTTCTTTTCATATAAAGAGGCAAATTTTGATTTTATCAAACAGAAACTATTCACTGTCTCAGTTTGTTGATTCTTGCCTACCATGATATCATCGGAAACAAAGCTTTTGGATGATTTCATTTTCATTACTTCCTTGTAGTTACAAAGACCCAAGGACAACCTAGGGTTCACTCCTAATTGGGATCCAACACGGAAATCCGAACAAACAGAAATGTTTGAAGAACTTTTGGGAAGAAGTACTATTGAAGATTGTTCTCCAAGAACATGAAGTAAGTCATTATTTTGTATCACATTCTGCACAAAGAGTTCTTTAACCAAAGTATCTCCTTCACTTTTTCTCTTGTCCTTTAGCCGAGAACTCCTTGGTTTAGCACTGATGCCGGTAGGTACACTGAAAATAGAAATTTAGGAACTTAAAGAAGTATATATAAACAAAAAACTCTTTAACCAAAAAAATTTTCTACTTCCAGAGCATCATACAACCATTGTGGCAAAAATTTATGCATGTACAAAAATTTGCTATCACTAATAACTGCAGCTGGTACAACAAGTTTGTAACTAGCAAACCAAATTTACCTACTCCATGGAATCTTGCCAATTTTCAGTGTGCAACAACTTCAATTATGCATCATAAATAAATTCATCGGAAAACAATAATTATATGTAAATAACTTAATTCATTGGCAACATGTGTGACAAAAATTGCAATGACTCTAAGTTTGAAACTCATTTTTTTTTTCCTGGCCCAAATGAATACTATCAGTTATTTTTGGCCTTCCAATATTCAAATATTATCAGTTTGATAAGGTAAAATACATTAAAAAATCACAGCATTGGAAGGAACCATAATGCTTCAATGGTGGCCAGAACAATAGCCACAAACAGAAACATTACATACCTTTTTTGATGTAAGAAACATTACATACCTTGAACACAACTCATGGGCAAGATCATAAAGTAATTGGAAATGAGAAACCATGGGAGGATAATTAATTGAAGCTCTTCGAATAGCAGCATCTTTAGCAACCCTCAACCATTCTGGAGTGGCAATATTTGCTGCCTCCCCACAATTAAATCCTAATAACAGAACCAAATGAATTAAATTAGCACCATCAATTAATAGTAAGAAAATGAAGTTCAAAGGTATGAGATATCTCACCATGACTGAACCCTGAATGGTAAGCTCTAGGAAATGTGACAACAAACTCTCCAGCGTTTTGTACTAACCTGATTTTGAAATACCAGTAAAGTAAGAAACAGAGAGAAAGCAATTCCTAAACAACAGACATCAAAAGCTCACTACATTATTCCTTAAGGGATAGTAACTCTGGCTCCAAGAAGATATGTCCAGGATATTATTCAGAATTTCATATTTCTAAGAAAGCAAAAAGAAGAGATTAATTTGTATGAATGTAAATCAGGTAAAAACTGTTATAAAATCAGAGAAATGTGAAATCCAGGCCACTGACATTACAACCAAAGATCATTATTAGCAGTTTGTGATTTAACACTCAAGAGTAGACCAGAATGAAGAGGCATATATTACCTGCAGCATGGGATCCCAGCCCTTACAAATACTTCAGGGGACATTAATGTTGTTTTCTCACCAAGTGTGGCAAAAGTAACTGATATAAGAAAAATAAAAGAAAGATTGCTCAATTAGAATCAGGAAATGATGTACTTAATTACAAGATCTATGTGACATTAGTGCATATAACCTTTTGACAATAAAATTAATTTCATCCACAAATACTATGATCTACAATTACAAGTCAAATACCAAAGACATACTAAAATGTCATAAGTCCTCTCATAGTCATAAACCATCAGTTCACCTATGTCTTTAACCAGTAAAATTAAAAGAAAGATGGCTCAATGGCAAGGCTAGAGTTTCACACACACACACACATGATACTTGAATAGGCCAAATCTCAACTTGCTTGATAACTTGATACCAAGCCTAGAAGTAACCTACCACCCTTAAATTAACCCTTTAATTTTTCATTAACTTATATTATAGATTCAACCCCAAACAGATGCAGGATATGCCAGCCTCTCCTGTCAAGAAAAGCTCGAGTGTGAGCATTTCTACACCCATACAAGTCAATTACCAAACAATATGCCATAGAACAAAAATCAACAAGGGCAGAGGAGGAAATTTAAATAGCAACTACTTCAGGTAAAGATAGCAAGAGAGATTGAACTTAATAACATATCACAGTAGTAAAATGCAGCCATTTGTAATATAATCAACCAAAAAGTTTACATAAGAAAAAAAAAAAAATGCCAGCATTACAACTTCCTTCCCAGAAAATCATAAATGTCTCTGCCCATAAACCTCATATTGAATAAGTTAGGCTATTAAAAGCAGTTGCCATGTCCTCAAGCTACTTGATTCAGCGATGTCCTATCATGTAACTAACTTTGACACTATAAAAGTACGTTGAGTAAACCCTATGCTACTAACATGCTATCACTTTAGATAATTAGAAAATTTGCCAATAAAAAAAAAGGATAACTAGAAAATTTGTAGATAAAAAACGAAGATAACTAGAAAATTTTCTAATTTAGCACTATCCACATAAAAAAAAAAAAAAAAAAAACAGAGGAGCCTCAAGTTATAATTTCCCCTCTGAAGCTCACCAAGAGGATTGAGCTCGCCTCCATAGCCTTGAAGCCTGACTACCTCCTCGAACGCAACTGCTGCATCCCTGGGCACACCGTACCAGGTCTTCCCTGCTCCCATATGCAAGTAATTCAAGCTGTGCAAATCATGATCCTCTACATGCCACGCAAACCAACTGAACAACATGGCAATGTACACCATAGGTGAAGTAACCCCTGGAATCTCCTCCTTCATGAACCTCAACAGGGATCCTTTTGCTCTGGAGACCCCCCGCATGTTCCATGCCGTCTCACCCACGGTCAAGCCTTCTCCTCCACCACAATTCTTCTTTTTCTTTAGTGGCATAAAAGCTGAACCAGGCATGTCGTTTGCGTACTCAACCGAAAAGGGTTTATCAAGCATAGCCTTCCAATAAAGGGTTTCGATTTCCAAAGGCGAAAGAGAGCCCTTTTTGCCACATTTCTTCAGGTAAGCTGTTTGAAAATTCTTTGCTTTAGCTTCGAACTGTTGGAAAGTGTAATAGTCGCCGCTTTGCCAGACGGGTTTCTGCACGGGGCGTGATTTTCTGGGGCAGAAGCCAATCTGCTGCTGGCGGGTAGTGAATGTGGGTAGTGGCTTGGAATTGGAAGAAGCCATGGTCGCTGAACGCGCCAAGAGTGAGCGATTAAGATGGGCAATAGCGGCCTTTTTGGGGGAAGGCGGGAGAGGAGGCACGATTTTGCAGATTCCATACTGGGAAGCCTCCTTTTCGATCTTGAAAATGTAAGCAATTGGATCTTGGAACTCGGCGACAGTAGGGTGGTACTCCGGGGCTAGAGGAAGAGATTTAAGCCATGAAAGGACCTCTGGTGAAGGGTCTGAAGCTGCCATGGAAGAGAAAGGGATTTGGGAGCAATCATTGAAGGGGCATTGTGAGGGAAGCAGCTGTTGAGATTCTGTGCTGCTGCTT